AAAGAGGTCATTGTCTTTCCCATCTTCCTTTGTCCTCCACCCCAGAACTTCCCTGCACCTCTGAAGTCTAACTAACCAACTGAGGACGGCTGCTAAGCACGGTGAGGGAGACAGCTTTGAATAGTTACTGTGTTTGGGACTGCAAATAATTGGGGAGCCGAGTCAAACCAAACCGAACCAGAGAGAAGATTGGCAAGGGCATACAAAGACATCCAGACAGGGTGGGCTTCAGGCTGCTCCATTTTGTGCTCAAGGACAGAACGAAGGACTCAGGTTCTTTCCAGATCTCTGTTCGCCCATCCCGAGCTCTGAACTCATTCCAAGTCTGCACCCCTGTGGTCATGGCTACTAGCACTCAGCAAAGGGGGAGAAGAAGAGAGACAGACAGACTGACACACAGAGAGACAGAGAAAATGGATCTGGCTTCTCATCCCTCCACAAAAGGTAGAACATTTTCCCAGAGACCTTCAGCAAATCACTTCTTGTGTCTCATTGGCAGAATCAGGTCATGGCCATTCCAGACCCAGTAAGCAGCAGAGTAAATGGGATTATTCCCAAATGCCTCGGGATCACCCTGTGAGCTGAAGTTAATTTTTCAAACTGAAGTTCTACTCTGCTCCGTGGGAGGGGTGAGATGGACAGTGGGGACGCCACCACTATGTCTGCTTACTAGGATACGGGTCAGTACCACAAGCCTATGAGTTAGCATTACTAGGATATGGGTAAGCACTACTAGAATATGGGTACCATACATTCTGCCACCAGTCTCAACGTAACCACCCCAAGCTTAGGCTCAGTCACAAGGCACCTACCTCAAAAGGCAATGGGAACTGGAGAATGGGGTCCAGTAATCCCCCTTTCACTTGGGAATGAGGTACACCCTCTCTAGTGCGAAATTCTTCAATCCTCAGTTGTGACATGGGACCCTCAGCAGGAGCGCTGGGCTCTGCCCGTGGCCAGCAGGAGCTGCTTTCTGAAGTCTGGCCAGATTCTGGACAGAGGAGCTCCCACAATGGCAGAGCAGAGGCCATTTCTTCACTCAAGTCCCCTTTATCTTGAACCTTTTTATCTGTGAGGTACCTGCGTGGAAGAGGTATAATTGTATGCAAATAAAGAAACACCCATTAGCCACAGGCTGTTCATACAAGAACCTAGGTGACTAAAAGAGCAATGGCAGTCCCTGTCCAATTTCCAATGTTTCGTTGGCCTTTACCATTTGAGCCTCAGAACAACAGTGGGAAGCAGGTAGAGAAAACTGTATTATCCCCATTTAATAAGGGGTGAGGCTTAGGTGCTTAAGTAATTTGCTTAAGCACTGGTGGACTTCAGATCTAACAAAGGACTTGAATACAAAATACAAAAGAACTCTTAAAGCTCAACAGTAAGAAAAGCAACAACCAACTTTTAAAAATGACAAAGAACTTGAGCAGACACTTCACCAAAGAGGCCGTAAGAATAGCAAATACATGCATCAAGAGATGGTTCAACATCATTACCCATGAGGAAAATGCAAATCAAAACCACAAATACCAATGCACACCCACTAGGACGGCTACAATGAAAGACAGACAATACCAAGTGCTCCCAAGGATGCAGAGCAACTGGGACATTTCTGGTGGGGATGTAAAAATAGTATAGCCGCTCAGGAAAATGGTTTAGCAGTTTCTTATAAAGCTAGATATATACATTCCATAGGACCCAGCTATCTCACTCTGGGATATTTACATTAGAGAAGTAAAAATTAGGCTCACGGGAAAACCTGTACACAAATGCTAATAGCCGTTTCATTTGTGAAAACCCCAACCCAGAAACACGCAGATGGCCCTCACGGGGTGAAGAATCAAGGCTATGGAATACTACTCAGCTGTAAAAAAAAAAAGAATGAGCTGTTGATGATGATGACTTGGATGAATCTCGAAAACAGCATGCTGAATGAGGGAAGCCAGTCTCAAAGAGTTACCGACTGTACGATTTCCTGTACCCGATGTTCTCAAATAGGCAAAACTGTAGTGCATGGCCATCAGGTCAGCAGCTGCCAGGGCCTCTGGGTGGAGGAGAGGGAGGCCATAAAAAGGAGTCTTCTGGGGCCCTGTTCTGTCCTCCAATTATGATGGCAATCCTAGAAATGTATACGTGTGTTAACATTTAGAGCACTGTACACTGGAAGGAAAAAGAGCCCAACGTTACTGTGTGATCATTTTTTAAATAAAACTTTAAAGAATCCGTGGCTTGTAGACCAGTTCAAGTCCTTGTCCGTTGCTGGCTCTACTACAATACACAGCCTGAATCAGCTCGGGGCTCTGCTCGTGGCGCAGCCCCCAGGCCCGCGTTCAAAGCCTTGTCTTGTGCAGAAAATTCTAATGAACTTTGCTCTCCTGTTTTCCCAGCTCATGGAAGCAGGACGTTAGAAGGAGAAGGAATGGAGCTGTTGGAAGCGAACACACTGGCAACAGCAAGCTACAGCTGCTCGTAAGAAAGGAGGCCGAAAACCACAGAATGCAAACCTACACATTCAAAACATGGTCGCGTCCGGGGCCATGTTGTTCAAGGGCTAACAGCCCCCCAACACACACCCCCACCCCCACATGTCAGTCCTGGTTCCCGATGAGGAACCTGAATCCCCAGAGAAGGGGGGATTCTAGGCTCTTGGTGCTCCCTGTGCCGCAGCAGAAAGGGGTCAGTAGGGTTGGCCCGTCGTGTGTACTCTACTCGTGAGAACCCTAAAGGTTGAACGCGCAATGATTCGCCCTTTAGCTGGGACAGAAATTTGGACACGGGGACTTGGACAGCCAGTACACCTGTCAATGACCAGCATATGCCCCCAGCATGGGCTTGTTGCTGTCTCTCACTCCCATCACCAGTGATCATCCCAGCTAGCATTTACTGAGCACCTACTGTATTCCAGACACGCTCTTGAGAACTTCAAATGGACTATTCCATGTAATCCTCACAACAGCCCTATGAGGAGGAACTGTAATAAGCCCAACTTTACAGATATGGAAACTGAAGTCAGAGAGGGCAAGTGACTTGCTTGAAGTCATACATCCGTCAGGTGGTGGAGCCTAGCTCCACAGCCTCCCCTCACAACCACTGTGCCCTGGGCCTTGAAGAGTGAGCCGTGACATGGAAGAGAACACAAAGGAAATTGACTTTAGAGCTGAAATTGAAGAGAGGAGAAAGTAAAGTCGACTAAGAAATTGGTTCTTCCTTAGGACCCTGCTGGGCAAGACTCCGAGCTCAGAGGATCAGCTGCCATCAATCTATCCTGCTTTGCATGGGGGGCAGTCCCCAAAAGAAGATGATAAAGCAGAGTCATCTACCCAATGGGGACTAAATACACCCAGTGATTTAGGTTGAGACTGGGAGATCTCAGGGACACCATGCCAGCTCGAACCATCTGTTCCAACAATCCGTTATGGTCCTCTGAGGTCTGGCTTGTCCCAAATAGTCCCCGGGTTTCCTGGTTACCTACTCCCCACCTCCACCCCATGCTGACCTGAATCCGGGCAACTGCTGATGCAAAGGTTCTCATTATTATTAGACTCATGGGTAGTTAGAATGACTTTTGTTGTTTTGATTCTTTTTTTAAGCAGGAAATCAAATCTCAGCCAACTGTAGGGATTCGGCTTATTAAATGAATTGAACGGAGGCAAAGGAGAATAAAAAACATTCCCAAACAAATGGAAGGGACGGGCCAAGTCAAGAGATGGCCTCCTTCCACATCTCTGCAAAATGCAAGAAGTGGGCTTCTCCTGGCTTGAGATTGAGGGCCTGGGGAGTCGCCATAACCCGTGCTCCCCCATTCCCTCCTCCCTCCTCCCTCCTCACTTCAGCCTGGGCTGAGGAGTCTGGATTTTATTTGCCATCAAAGATGCCTGAGGAATCTGGGGGTCAGGCACAGTTAGGTGAGCCAGTGAGTGGTGGGCTGGCCAGAGTCTATAGCCCTCCTTCCTTCCTGGAATCTCAAGTTAAGGCCTCTGGAGAGGCCCTGAGACAGCAGAAGAGGGAGGCTGAGGTGCAGACAGGAAGGCCCAGAGGAGGCTCAGGGAAGTTCCCCAAGCCAACATTCTCAAGGAAAATACTTCTGAGCTTGTTGTCTTTCCCTTTGGGAAAGGCTCTCTTTCTCCTGGGAGTTTGAATCTTCAGCGCACATTATCCCACAACACCTCCCTAATGAGATGTTCTGTGGGTTCCTGAGGTGTTCAGATTAGCCCTGGTCCCTGTTCAGTTCATGGCCCACCTAGAACTCAACAAAGCAGAGGCCAGTACCTCCTCTCCCTTCTTCCTTAGAGATGAAACATGGAGTTTATTGGGTGTGTAAAGGTACTCAGCTTCAAAGGCACCAACTTGCCTGGGAAATGCACTTTTTTTTTTTTTTGGTCTCTTCTTCTCATCAGCATTCCGGAAATTGACCTCTAGGTGCAAATCTGTTCATAACTACTTATGTAGAATTTTCCCCACCCTGGCTCAGCCCTCTGCGTTTCAGTCCAGACCTAACAGGTGGAAGGAGTTGAGCACCTGTGCATATAAAGGAAGGAGAGAGCACTAATTTTTACTGAACGCTGTGTGCCTGGAACCATGCCAGACCATGTATTCTAAGAATAGATACAACATGATGAATATAGTCTATGTGCCAAGCCCTTTGCTTGTGATGAGAGTTCCAGTTTGATTCTAAGCAGATTCAGATGTGCCTGGACATGTCAGGAATATCAGTGGGGAAGACCCCATCAGAAGTCTCTTTGCACTGAAGACTAACAGATCTCCTGGGAGGGAATTTACCCCAACAAAGGGAAAGTACCTGGCATGAGTGTGGCACCGTCCATTAGGATTAGTTTTTGCTGAATATAGCAAGAAAAAACAATCCTTAAAATGACTATAGCTTAAACAAGATTCAAGTTTATTTTTCTTTCCTACAGAAGGATCCAGAACCAATGGCCCAATACTGACATGGAGATTCTGTGGTATCATTAGGGACACAGACTTCAGTCTTTCTTCTCCACCATTCAGGGAAATAGCTTCCGTCCTCAAGCTGTCCTCCTGGTCCAAGATGGCTGTCGCAGCTCCAGCCATCACAATTCAGGCTGGTTGGCTGAAAGAAAGAAGGAAGGGGGTAACAAGGGACATGCTTCCAGCTGTGCCAGTTCTCTAGGCAGCCTACCCTATCCGCAGCACTTCTGCTTACAATCTGTTGGCCAGAACTCAGTCATATGGATATATGGAGTTCCAAAGGAGGCCAAGATATCTTATCTTTTAATCCAGGTGGCAAGGGGCCCAGCTGGAAATCAGTGTTTACTTCCTAAGGAGAAAGGAGAAGATGGGTTTCTGGATAGGCAATGAGGAACCTCAGCTGGGAAGCCTGACCTCAGGTCTGCCTCCAGCCCTGCCTTGTGGCTTCATGATCCAGTCTCAGGAAAATAGGAGGCTGCAAGGAAACTCTGAGAGATAGGGACCTAGGGAATGCGAAGTTGGGATCCCTCCACTGGAGAGTAACATTTGAGAGGGAAGAAGAGTTTCCCTATGGTTTTTCCAAACCATAGCTCAGCTTTGAAAGGGCTCAGTGAGGGACAGCAGTCAAGGTGTCTGGCAGGGCAGCCCCAGGGCATAGGGGTAGCTGACTTCTTGGTAAGCACATGTGCAGGGCATCCTCCAAATGTCTTCACAAACACGTGAAGCAGGGGACGGTGGGTTCCCCCTGTCCCCAAGAATCCATGAGACTTAGCTTACTGGTGTCGAAGGGACCCTAGTCATACTCAAGACTAGCAAGACCATGAGAATTCCATTATTCATACATTAATCCTCACAACCAGCTTGGAGCTACGTGGGATTATCCCCATTCTGACAGTTGAGGAAAGGGAGGCACAGCCCAGGGGCCAAGTAAAGTAATGGGCCCAATGTCACACAGCTGGTAAATGGCAGAACCATGATGAAAACCAGGTGTGTTCACCTCAACAGTCCTGCTCGTTTTCCATTCCACACTCCGTCACGACTTCCTGCTGAGAAGTGTCTGGGGCTGGAAGAGGGAGAATGAAATGGAACAACAAATGAAAACTGGAAGACACATGTGACTTGTTTCTGCCCAATATCCTCTCTTTTGGGCAAGGATGCAGCTCCCATCCATATAACTGATGGGGTGTCCACCATGGACACCAATGGGCAGTTAAGGCAAACTTAAAATCAGGCTCTCTTTCTCCTGGGGATTTGAATCTTCAGTGGACATTATCCCACAACACCTCCCCACAGAGACTTTCTTTCTTTCTTTTTCTTTTTTTTTCTTTTAAGATTTTATTTATTTGACAGAGAGAGACACAGTGAGAGAGGGAACACAAGCAGGGGGAGTGGGAGAGGGAAAAGCAGGCTTTCCGTGGAGCAGGGAGCCCGATGCGGGGCTCGATCCCAGGACCCCGGGATCATGACCTGAGCCAAAGGCAGACGCTTAACAACTGAGCCACCCAGGCACCCCCCCACAGACATTTTCTATGGGTTCCTGAGGTGTTCAGATTAGCCCTGGTCCCTGTTCAGTTCCTGGCCTACCTAGAACCCAACAAAGCAGAGGCCAGTCCCTCCTTTCCCTTCTTCCTTAGAAACAAAACATGGAGTTTATTGGGCGTATAAATGTACTCAGCTTTAAAAGGCAATAACTCACCTGGGAGATGCACTTTGTGTCCCTTCTTCCTCCTTTTATCTACCTAGAATGCTGGCGTGATGGCTGGAGCTACAGTGATCACATTGTCTCCGTAAAGTGAAGTTGAGGATGGAAACCAGCCCTAAGGATAGTGGAGAGAAAGGCAGAAGGAGCCTGGTTTCTGAGGAGTTTGTGAAACTACCATCCCATTGCTATATTACCTACCTTCAGACTTTAGGTCAGAAAAAAAAAAACACTCCCGCGTCTATACATAGGCCAGTACTACTTCAAATCTCAGTCATTAGCAGCCAGAAGGAATCCTAAGGAATTCACCCATGTTCTTGTTTAAATTAGAGACAGAAACTTTGCTTCCAATTAAAGATGAGACAGACTCCTTGGGATTAAAGAAAGCATAACGAGGAGCCCAAGGAACAAAAGTCAACCCTCAAAAACTACTAAGGTAGCTCTCAGACTCGGTCCCCATCCTGCTGAATCCCACCACTGGCAGGTGGGAGACTAAGCAGGTGAAGGAGAACCCCCGATCTTGTAGATGCAGAGACGAGAATATATGTGACAGTCCGAGATGGAATCTTTAGAACTCTGATCACTGAGACTTGTTCTAGAAGACCATAATTATGCACCAGTCTTTAAAGCAGCAGACCCGATTCAAGCTCTTGCCCTCTTGCTGATCCTATAATTTTTATTCCCTTAACCTCCCTGAGCCTCAGCGTCCTCATCTTTACGACGGACGGGAAGTGAAATCCATCCTCAGAGGATAGTTGAGGTTTTCAAATTTATGGGTATAGAAGTGCTTTGTAAACCATAATGCTCTTTACACATCATTGCTATTAGTTTTTATTGAGTTTCAGCTATATTAAGCTAAAGATAGTCCAGGAACTCAGACAATATTCACATCGGTTGTGTTGCAAAAGAAGTACCTAAGTTCCAAACGACCCACTTGCTTTTGAAACCCTACTGACCCTTAAATTGGAGAAGGCCTCTGATGTTACATGTTGCTCTCCAGCGGCTGCATGTGCTAATGTACATTTAACCATTTAAATAACTTTTAAGGGAGTGATGTTCATACACAGCTGGTCCTCTTTGGAGGTGGCCAAGATGCAAAGGTTTTATAAATTAATGGTTAGATTAAATTAGGACCAACACCAAAATATTTTACTGTTTTCATTGTTCTGTGCATTCCTCCCAGCGTGCATATGGCCAAAACCCATGTACAATTAGTTTTTTTATAAGTTGATACAGAAAGTTTGGCTCCAGGCTTTTTTATTTTTATTTTTTTAAGATTTTATTATTTACTTGAGAGACAGAGAGAGCGCATAGAGGGAGAGGGAGAGGCAGACCTCTGCTGAGCAGGGAGCCCGATGCAGGGCTCGAACCCAGGACTCTGGGATCATGACCTGAGCTGAAAGCAGATGCTTAACCAACTGAGTCACCCAAGCGCCCCAGCTTTTCTACTTTTAAAGAGAGTTATTTGCATCTGCAAATCTACAATTTCCAAGGTGCTTTTGGACCCAGCGGGTCATCCAGACTCACAGTGATCTGTTGTATTACTTTTCCCATATTATAGACAAGCAGATTACCTCAAAAACGTGAGCTGAACGTGAAACGATTTGCCCAGGACCACCTAGTTATTATGCACTAGAAGTGGAACTGAGGCACCTCTGCTTCTCTTTATAACCCCACGAAAATGTGCACGGTTGGGGGTGTGATGTTGACACCTTCCACTGTTTGGGCTATAGCTAAAATTTAAAAGGCAAAAGATTAATGTGATCATAGAGACAGCAACTGTCACACTTCAGTTTGCCAAAAGATCACCTGAGGAAGTTGTAGGTGTAAGTCTGGGCAGGGTCAAGGAATAGGCATGTTAAATTGTTTTGGAATTCTTGCTACTCAAAGTGTGGTCCTGAGCCCGGCAACATCAAAATCACCGGGGAGCTTGTTAGAAATGCAAATTCTCAAGAACCATCCCAGGTCTCCTGTATAAAAATCTGCATTTGAACAAGCTCCCCAAGTGATTAAAGTTTAAGAAGCCCTGCTCTGGGTGTTTCAGATGTAGACCTTCTAGAGCTTACTTTCCTGAACAGCATCCTGGGGAGGGGGTGCTCTAATGACTTGGATAATTTACTCAAATCCATGAAAACAGTAAGTCAAGGAACTAAAATAGCTGACCAACTGAAAACTTTTTCATTGATGTGAGAGCATCAAGCAGACTCTCGGATGCAGACTGGAAACTCTACTTTTTTTTTTTACAATTGATTTATTTGTCAGAGACAGAGAGAGAGAACACGAGCAGGGGGAGCTGCAGGCAGAGGGAGAAGCAGGCTCCACTGAGCAGGGAGCCCGATGCAGGACTTGATCCCAGGACACTGGGACCACAACCTGAGCCAAAGGCAGACACTTAATGGACTGAGCCACACAGGCGTCCCCTGGGAACTCTTTCTTAAGGACAAACACGTGTGAAGCTACTTGCAAACATTCTCTTTCATCTGCTCAGCAACACTGCACAGTGAGGTGCATTATCGCTGTTTTGTAGATGGGAAAGTTGGATTCTAGAGAAGGGGAGTGACTTACCCAACATCACACTGTAAGGGGCAGAATCAGACTCAAACCCAACACTGACTGACCCTCTGTGGTAGGGCCCTTCTGCTACCCCTGTTTCCATTACTCTGCAACAGTGGGTTCAAGGTCTGGTCCCCAGACCTGCAGCATCAGCAGCACCTGGAAACGTGTTCAAAATGCAAGTTCTGGGGCCCCACCCCAGATCTAGTGAATCAGAAAGTGTAGGAATGGATCCCAGCTAGCAGTGGCTTTAAGCTTTCCAGGTGATTCTAATACATGCACAAGCTTGCAAACCTCTGTGCTGTAGATCCAAGCCTAATGAGATAGAGGGGAGGAGGGGGTGGTGTCCACCACGTGTGACTAGAAGCCCATGGCACTCAAAAATATTCCAGCCTTCCATGCTAGCTGAAATTCCAGCACAGGTGTCCTTCCCTGAACGTGATGCCGTGGGACCTTGACACTCAAACGGCGGAAACTAGGAACAGCCCCCGTATCACCTGGGAGCTTATTAGAAATGCAGAATTCAAGGCCACACATCAGAATCTACTACAGACCTATTATATCAGCACCCACATATTGAAAAGATTCAGGTGTATGTTAGAGCCTGAGAAATACTGTAGTCGAGTGAGCTCTAGGTTGAGAATCTTCATTCCTGAGTATAAATTCCAACTTCACCATTTTCTTGGACTTCTCAGGCCACTCAGTTCCTAACTCAACAGGGAAAACCTTCAGAACCTCGAGGATATGCACCAGAGTTCCCTCTGGGAAGCTGACACAGGTGAGTCTCAGCCAGCCTCTAATTCTTGTTGGGACCCTGCCCTTCACGCTGAGAGATGTCCTGGGACTTGACACTACCCTGAGAGTTTTATGTGAGTAGACAAAACCAAGAAAGAGCAAGGAACGATTGCATCGCCTGAAACAGAGAGGCTGCATGGGTGGGGCAGGGTGAGGCCAGGAGGGGTGGGCTAGAGTCTGAGAAAACAGCAAAGGGTGAGGGGCAGACAGGAGGAAGTCAGTGCCTTAGAAGATGACGTCTGCACACACCAGGCTAGTGCATCATGCTGGGCAACTTCTACGATGCTGAGCCCATTCCTACCACTTGGTTAGGGTTCTGCCTCAGTTGCCCACTTGGCCTTCTAGACGCCTGCCCAAGCCCCATCTGTAAGCCTGACGACCAGTCTGCTCCCTACCCCACCCATGGCCATCCACAGCCGCTCTTGGCTTTCCTCCTCTTCCCATTGTTCACTAGGTCCCATTTGCCTTACAGCCAGGACCATCTGAAGTATAACTAGATCTTAGAGAAATAAGAAGCCTGGAGAGGGATCTGGCAGACAGGGAGGGAAAAGCTGACATAGATTTCAGAAATAGCTGAGAAAAACCTCCCAAGAGATCACGGAGAAGACAGTGGAACGAGAGAAGCTCAATACTGGGGGTAAAACCATATGTACTTTGGGGGAAATCTAATATGCATATGTCCGGGACTTTTAAATCACCAGAATACTTTTCGGTGGCAGCCATTTGATACCCAGGAAGCCTTTGGTTATATTTTAGTAAGCTTCATTAAACCCTTTATTTTCAACATCAGGAAAGTGTGTTCTGCCAAGACGAGATTACTCGGACGTCAGGTTTAAGCCTCTGAGATTCCAGAAATAGTCTAACGTGGCCCAACCCATTGTGGGACCCACCGGTACCAAGCCTGGCACCCCTCTCTGGGTTTTTCTCGATCTGCTTCCTCTCTGAATCCGGGTGTGTTAGTCAGCTCGGGCTGCCATCATGCCAGGATACCACAGACTGGCTGGCAGGGGTGGTTTCTGGTGAGGTCTTGCTTCCCGTCCGCCACCCTCTGGCTGTGTCTCTGTGGGGTCTGTCTTCTGTGTGTGCACTGAGAGAAAAAGAGAGCTCTGGTGCTTCTTCCTCTTACAAGGACACCAGTCCTACTGAATTAGGGCCCACCCATGCCACCTTCTTTTACCTTAATTACCTCTATAAGGGCCATATCTCCAAATACAGTCACATCGGAACTTAGGGCTTCATCATACGGATCTGGGGAAGGGAGACACAGTTCAGTCCATAACACTAGGGTTGAGAAGCTAGGCTCCAATCGGTCCACAAGATGCAGCGAGTGGCGCATAGCTAGTATTGGTGGGTTGTTCCCTAAAGCCTACAACCCCCAGAGTGTCCTCACCTCTGGACCTCGGTTTCCTCCTTTGTAAGAAATGAAGTGAGATAAAGCCTTGTTGTAGTACTAGGGCCCCTAGATACTGATTCTGGCTCTGCCACCGTCCGGCTAAGTGTCTTTGGATAAGCACGGCTTTCCTGTGACCCATTTTTTCCATGTAAGAAGAGGTGTCATCACGCCCATTAGGATGGCTACTATCAAAAGAACAGTGGGGCGCCTGGGTGGCTCAGTCAGTTGAGTGTCCAACTCTTGATTTCAACTCAGGTCATGATCTCAGGGTCCTGGGATGGCACCCCATGTTGGGCTCCGTGCTCAGCGTCGCGTCTGCTTAAGATTCTCTCTCCCTCTCCCTCTACCCACCCCACTTGTGCTTTCTCTCTCTCTCTCTCTTAAATAAATAAATAAATCTTAAAAAACAAAAACAGAAAACAACAAGTGTTGGCAAGGATGTGGAGAAGTTGGAGCCCTTGTGCACTGTTGGTAGAAATGTAAAATGGCACAGTCAGTGTGGAAAACAGTCTGGCAATTCTTCAAAAAAGTTAAATACAGAATTACCATGTGATCCAGCAATCCCACCTCTGGGTATCTACCCGAAAGAAGTGAACCTGGGACTCAAATATTTGTACAGGAACGTGCATAGCAGCATTTGCAAAAAAGTGGAAACAACCCAAATGTTCACTGATGGATGAATGCATAAACAAAACATGGTATATACAGACAATGGAATATTATGCAGCCTTAAAACGGAAGGAAATCTTCTTATATGCTACAACATGGATGAACCTTGA